TGGTAAAGGCCATTGTGCCCATCGCTCCCATGATGGAAAGGAACGCTTGGGCTACTTTTGTATGATTCCCTGCTGTGTTCAAAACTAAATTAGAAACATGCCCCCAAATCATGACATCTCTGTAAAGTGATTTCTGTGCCGTTAGAGGAGTTTTTAATGAATAGCACCCAGCAGACAACCGCCACTTCCTTCAGCAGCTAGGAACGACATATGCAACAATTTCAAACATATGAAATAATGCACACCCTGGGAGGAGAATCGTGATATGAAAGCAAATCTTGCTGAAAATGGACTTCTCCCTAGAAAGCTGTATTGCCCTATATTTTACATGTTTGCAACATACCGGTTGTCATGCTAAGGAGCCCTCTTCCCCTACACATCATTGATGACAATGGTAGCTGTTTTAATTCATTCATGTATGTTGGCTCTGTTAATTCATTTATTCTGAAATAGCCTTGTCTTCCACTGATTTAAAATCCAAAGAGGAGTGATAGTTCTGTGGGTTAATTTTATATTTTAAAATGTAATTGTCCTACAGTGAACCATTAAAAACAGAGATGGGGAAGTTGTGAATCTCCGCATAGAGCTGGATTACAATGGCCAAACCCAGTACAAACGCAAGATCCCAGCACATATAAAATGGTGTTATAATTTGCTCACAAACAAGATATCTAGCACTAGTTCCACACTTGTAAGGAAATTATCTTCAAGTGTGGCAGAACCCACATTGTGGAACCCCTTGCCCGTTGAAATTAGGCAGGTGCATTTGCTGTATTGTTTTTGGCACCTGCTATAATCTCTTTGGGATGCGAGTGGCGCTGTGGTGTAAACCACTGAACCTAGGGCTTGCCGATCGGAAGGTCCGAATCCCCGCGACGGGGTGAGCTCCCGTTGCTCGGTCCCAGCTCCTGCCAACCTAGCAGTTCGAAAGCATGTCAAGGTACAAGTAGATAAATAGGTATTGTTCTGGCAGGAAGGTAAACAGTGTTTCCGTGCGCTGCTCTGGTTTCACCAGAAGCGGCTTAGTCATGCTGGCCACATGACCCAGAAGCTGTACGCCGGCTCCCTCGGCCAGTAAAGCGAGATGAGCGCCGCAACCCCAGAGTTGTTTGCGACTGGACTTAACTGTCAGGGGTCCTTTACCTTTATAATCTATTTTGTCTAGGCAATACAACTGAGATTTATAAAGTTCACACACACACATACACATTTTCAACTGCTGATTTTATTTATATTTAGAAAATAATCTAGGTCTACTTGTTTTTAAGCTTCTGGCTTTTTCTTGATAGTTTTAATTTATATTTTATGTAAAACGGGGGTGGGGGAGTTGTTTTGTTTTTACAACTGAAGCCATATACAAATTCTGGTAATTAATTAATTACAGTCATACTGTAAGTCATCCAGAATTAGCCTGAAAAACATTTCCTTGTATAGTAATTACAACAAAGCATAAAATTACCCAGAACAACAAAGTATTGATGATCAATTGCTTCGACACAATACAATACATTTTTCAAACCTTTTTTTACTGTTGCTTTCTAATCCCTCAGGAGGAAACTACACTCCCACATTGAGATACATGTCATCTGTCAGGGCAGCCAAGGCTGCTTTGATCCCGAACTCAGGCCTGAAGTCAGATTGGAGTGGGTCAGCAGATGGCATGGTGTGTGAGAGAAAGCCCTGTTGCTGTTTTATTTTAAATGTGTTGGTTGATTTTTTTTCAAAGAAAACAGCCTACAAGCAACATAAATTAGTGCACAAAACAAAGAACAACTGCGTGGAATATATAATATATTGCTTTTGGTACCAACTCAGAGGCTCTTCTTGGCTCCCAGTAAATGTCAGAGGTTTTGTTTTGGTTGTTAGCGCTAGTCAGAAACTCAGAGTGGTTGCAACTTTCAGACAAGAAAGACCCATCTTTCTTACATTCATTCAAACTAGCCACAATTTGATTTCCATAACTCAGGATATGGTCTTTTTGATGGGAACAACCAATACATTCACCTTAATGTAAACACCATGACTCCTTGAGCCTATCAATGTTTGTATCATCATCATCATCTCACCTTTTGCTAAGGAGCTCAAGGTGGCATACATCATATTTATTTCACCCATTTTATTCTCATAGCAACGCTGTGAGCTAGTAGGTCTGGCCGAGTCACAGCAACTGGTCCAAGGTCACCAAGTTAGCTTCATGTCAGAGTGGTCTCCTAGGCCCACACGCTAACCACCACACTGCACTGGGTTTTAACCTGGAATTGCTTCTATCTCTCATGTGTGTAATCTGTGGCATAACCAACTTCATATAACCAACATACTTAAGTCTAATTAATGCATGAAGAGGTTGAGACCATGACGTAAGCTGTCCTGCCAGGCTTAGTTTACCTTGGGAGGAACTACATAATCAAGCTTTTGTTCCCCTCAGTCTATATGAGAAGCTCCTTGTGTGAAGATGATTGAGCCGGTTGCTCCAGCTAAGACCGCATGGCTCTCACAAGCCACTCTTTGAGTTCCTATACCAATAATTTAGGAACTTTCACCATTTTGAAACTAAACCAAGTTTTAATGCCTGTGCAACTTTCTGAAGCACATGAATCTGACCTCTGAGGAATTTGTAAGTAAACCATTTTTAACTTACCAAACATGTGGTGTGTCTCCCCCCCGCCCTATGCTGGGGAAAGAGTAAACTTTTGGAAAGCACAAGGCATATTTTAAACATCTGACAGCTTCTATTTCCATGTTTTACTTTGCTGCATTTTAAATCTCTGTTGGAGTTCTCTCATCAAAGAGTACTTGCCCAAAACTTGGATCTTGGCATCTAAGAATTCTTCTTTTCATCCCTATTTTTCCCTTGAACCAACATAACCATCCAGTGTCATTACTTCACACAAAACTTTGTGATATCTGATGGATCTATGAAAGAGCTAGTGCTCTTAACCTTGTACACATTTTGTTGATGTTTAAAAATGGAACAGTTCCATCACTAGTGTAGCAAAACTGCATCACTATGGTGCAAAAAGAAGCATCTGTTGAATTTCTGCCTGCCATCTGCAGAAATCAAACGTACTGAGCTGCTGCCAGGGAAAAAATAAAAATAAGAAGTGGTAACTCTTGACTGTGACTTGGCATCCCACACAATCATGAAAATGATATTCAAATGGTTTTAATTGCCTGTCGCTAAAATCAGCTGTGGGCCCTCGTGCTCTGGATATGCATTGTGCAGTGGAAAACAGGTTGCTCACTCCTGTAAGGCAAGATAACTCAAGCTTACCCCCATCCGCTAGACAGAGCCACCTGGAATTTCCAGCATTTGCATATCTACCCAGTTTAATTTCCCGGTCTTATGCCGCTCAGTAGTGTTCAATAAAGCAAATTACTTTGGAATTGATTTACATGTAAATAGCAATTGAAGGATAAAGTTAATGTTCTTATTCACGGGTAGAGGGTAACAAAGGACAGCTGTGCCCTACATTACCACTCAGTTTCCTGCCTGACAGATGTGGGTTCTTCTTCCTCCATGAGGTCCACTTGCAGTGGGGTATTCCTGCATCTTCAGCTTGCAGCGCAACCCACAAAATATCAGAAAGATCACTGATCATAGTGTGTTAAAATCAGCCGAGGGGGCTCTCTTGGTAGTCCCACTACCCTCAGAAGTGTGGGGAATGGCACTCAAGGATGGAGCTTTCTTTGTAAGGTAAAGGTAAAGGGACCCCTGACCATTAGGTCCTGTTGTGACTGACTCTGGGGTTGCGGTGCTCATCTCGTTTTGCTGGCCGAGGGAGCCGGCGTACAGCTTCCAGGTCATGTGGCCAGCATGACTAAGCCGCTTCTGGCGAACCAGAGCAGCGCACGGAAACGCCGTTTACTTTCCCGCCGGAGTGGTACCTATTTATCTACTTGCACTTTGATGTGCTTTCAAACTGCTAGGTTGGCAGGAGCAGGGACCAAGCAACGGGAGCTCACCCCGTCGCGGGGATTCGAACTGCCGACCTTCTGATCAGCAAGCCCTAGGCTCTGTGGTTTAACCCACAGCGCCACCCACGTCCAGAGGCTTTCTTTGTAGCAGCACCTAAACTGTAGAACTCCCTCCCTGCAGAGGTGTATCTTAGCACCTTAGTTTTATAGCTATCATCATATTCTGAAGATGCACCACATTGGATGGTTATTTCGCTTTGTGGCAGCAGTATTCTTGGTGGACTGATACTGTCCTGTTCTGGTTGGAACAGCTTTATTTGTTTTCATAATTCTGACTGTTATTCTAATTGTATATTATGTTGTTGTAACCCACCCTCGCATCTTATGGTGAAGGGTGGGTAAGAAAGAACTCGTACAAACAAATAGATGAATATGCTTTCAAACCCATGTTCTTACTAACACAGAGAGACTGCCAAGAAAATGTCTGCCGTCGTAACTCTATCACTCCTGTGACATTTCTATGATCAGTAATCGTACGATTGCTTGCCTACTGTTCTCCTGAGCAGAATGTGCTTTCTTTTCGATGAAGGATCAAAACATGGCTTCATTTGGTAATACTTGCAAATTAAGGAATAAGTTGCCTTGAGCTTGGCGGAACTTATTTCTAGGGTGGCTGCATGGCAGAGGGACATTCCTCTATTAAGGTCCAAGTCCTATGTAAAGAAAGGGATGCGGGTGGCGCTGTGGGTTAAACGACATAGCCTAGGACTTGGTGATCGGAAGGTTGGCGGTTTGATTCCCCGCAATGGGGTGAGCTCCTGTTGCTCGGTCCTTGCTCCTGCCAACCTAGCAGTTCGAAAGCATGCCAGTGCAAGTGGATAAATAGGTACCACTCCGGCGGGAAGGTAAACGGCGTTTCCGTGCGCTGCTCTGGTTCGCCAGAAGTGGTTTAGTCATGCTGGCCACATGACCCGGAAGCTGTACGCCGGCCAATAAAGCGAGATGAGCGCTGCAACTCCAGAGTCGGTCACGACTGGAGCTAATGGTCAGGGGTCCCTTTACCTTTTACATATACAAAGATAAAGATTCATTGGCGCAATGGGTCAGTGCGTCTGGCTGTCAACCAGAAGGTTCGTGGTTCAAGCCTACCCAGGGATGCCTGTGGGCAGGATTCCTGCATTGCAAGGGGTTGGAATAGATGACCCTCAGGGTCCCTTCCAACTGTACAATTCTAGGATTCTAAGTAACGGGAGCTGTGCACACACCATACATTCAAAGCCCATTTAAAACACATGGCATCCCTACAAAGAATCCTGGGAATTGAAGTTTGTCCCCCACAGAGCCAGAACTCCCAGCATCCTTAACAAAGTAGAGTTCCCAGGATCCTTTGGGGTAAGGCATAAACTTTAAACCCATGCCAAGAGCAAACCCCTTCAATTGCCCTTCTATACTTAGCTGGACCGTAAAGAAGGCTGACTGACGAAGAATTGATGCTTTTGAATTCTGATGCTGGAGGAGACTCTTGAGAGTCCCATGGACTGCAAGAAGATCAAACCAATCCATTCTTAAGGAAATCAGCCCTGAGTGCTCACTGGAAGGACAGATCCTGAAGCTGAGGCGCCAATACTTTGGCCACCTCATGAGAAGAGAAGACTCCCTGGAAAAGACCCTAACGTTGGGAAAGATGGAGGGCACAGGGAGAAGGGGACGACAGAGGACGAGATGGTTGGACAGTGTTCTCGAAGCTACCAGCATGAGTTTGACCAAGCTGCGGGAGGCAGTGGAAGACAGGAGTGCCTGGCATGCTCTGGTCCATGGGGTCATGAAGAGTTGGAAACAACTAAACGACTAAACAACAACAACTTAGCACACAGCAAAGTCTTCCCTGCCATGGCGGTGAGATGCATTGCACTTCTATTTCAATCATAGGAATTATTCCTAAATCCACATCGATAGTTATACAAGTATGTGCATATTTTATGCAGATCTGTGCCATCTTTGCTGGTGATGTGTGAGCAATTTATTGCTGAGCAAATGTTTAAAAATTTATGCAGAGGCACTTCTTTTTTTTATGTGTGTCACTGACCGTCTCTGGGATGACTTAAACCCATTCCTTGCTTTATTAGTATCGGTTTGTTTGTTCAGTTGTACCCCATACCTTCAGCCCACCAAGCTCCCAAGGCGGTGAAGGAGACATATAAAAAGCACCCACAATTAATTAATAATAACAGCCAATAACATGACAAACAACAGCAAATAAAACCAAGCTAATAAATATGTAAGCAAGATGTGTCCATTAGTGCTAGATCTCTTTTCCTTTATTATCCTGCCTTGTTAATTTACCCCACTTCCTCTAGTGGGAATCTGAAAGATGTTTAGGGTAATAGAACCTTGAATTAATCTCACTGCCCAGGCCTATTAACTGTAATGAATTGTGCACTGTAATATACAAGCCTTCTCTTATACAAGTAGAGAGAATGCTGAGGAAGAGTTGTTATTGCTAAAACCAAGATGCTTGTCTCTACCTTTTTTGTCCAGGGAGACATAACACGGTGTGAGAAGAAAGGCAGAATTTACAAGCCGAAAGTTAAAGCAAATTAGATTATCTCCAGCAGCAAGCATGAAGTACCTCCAGAGAACTGTTGCTGAAAATTGGGTTCAATTGAGTAAGCTCACGGAACCAGAATTGAGGAGTATCCAGAGCCAGTGGCATGGGGCAAAGCTGAAAATCAGGGCCAGAGTACCTGTGAACTCTTACAAATCAGAAGGCAGTACCCAAGAGCAAGCCAGAAGCATAATCAGAGAACAATCAAAGGTTACACTGCAGGTGCAACAAACCTTTGGCGCTCTAGAGGTTGATGAACTGCCAGGACTCCCATAAACCCTGGCCATTGACCAAGCTTGTAGTTCAGCAACATCTGCAGGGCCAAGCAGGAAATCATTGTACAGTTCTTCTTGTCCAGGGGGATACAACAGCCCATTTGACTAGGTACGTTCCCTCACTACCATTTGCCCAAGCAACAATCCTATGTTTATGCTATGTTATGGTTTATATTCCGTGTTCTGGCCCAAAGGCCCCCAAACAGGTAAACAGGATAGTAATACCAAAATAAATACACTAGGTCACTCATTGAAATAATAAAAGATAGCCAAAGCAAAATATCCACAGTGAACCAGCCAAAAGAGGATGGTTATTGACTAACCTAGGACTTTGTCACTCAACCCACCTCAAACCTCAGCTCTGTATCCTCCTCTCACTACATCAGTGCAAACAAGCAAACCCCCACTGCTTTGTTAATCAATCCCTCGGTTGTCCCCACTTCCCTGTTACAAGACCCTGACAATCCAGTTTCCTGACAATAGACAACAGAAGATTAGATCTGTATAAAAATCTGTAATGTCATGTTAGTAGTCTAGCATGCTAGCACATTTGGAAGCCAGGTTAATTTTTGGATTTTTCCATTCTTAGGATCAGTTCCTCACATGTCCACTTCGGTTTGTGGTTTAAGTCCTCGTGACAATTCACCAAGACTTTTGTGTGAATTTCTCCTAATCTCTTCAAATTCATATGTAATTTTGCCTAGCACACGTTTGCAAATCACCTTCCGCTAGTAGGATGCATTTCTATGCACATTTCTTAGCTGGAGAACGGTATTGCAAAATTTGGAGAAGTGCAAATTATGAAGGACAGCTGTGTTTGGGGTAGTTTGGAAAGAGAAATTGGTTTGCCTTTAAATGTGAACTGGATTAAATTTATCCCACCTCCAATGCCTACACGTACTCAATGAGATACGGTTACATGATAACATCTAAAGCCAAACAGAGTGGGGGGAAAGCTCCCTGTTCTATCTTGAATATTTCTTCCTGGGAAAAATACTAAAGTGCAAGAAGATCTGGAAGAGGAGATGCAAATGGCACTTTGGAACTTCTGAGCTACTGGAGGGAACAAGAGAACAAACTAGAAAAATAAGAAAAATGCAAAAGTTGGTTAGGATGTTGAAAGAATGCTGGCCCAAAGCCAGTTCTCAGTGCCATGGGAAATGAAGGACTTCTGAAACCCAGACAAAAGTTTAGCAAGAGAAAAGGGGATTTTACTCTGAAAAGAACAAATTGTCCTTCTAAAATCACTGAGACCAACTATGCTGGGAAAGATTCCTATAGGACGTTTTGTCACAGTATCATGCAAACAAAGAGAGGCATGTGAAGTATATGATATTGGCCTGGCATGAGTGCTCAGATAGAACATAATGATATCCAGGTGTTCCATATGTTTGAAATATCAAGAAGAGCTAATAACAGTTGGAGTCATCCCTGCCAGGATATGGCTGCAAATTTAATCAGATCTGCTCACATGGGAACAGAAACATAACTTCTTGATAAACTACAGTTTGGTGTGATGTCAGAATTGACAAACAATTACTATTTGCAATCAGCCAGAATCAGAAACCATGGTCTACAATGTATTTGCAAAGCATGGTTTGTACTAACTATGGTTTGGTGTGATAGCTCAACTGACAGATCATATAGTTGTACCTTGGTTCTTGAATGCCTTGGTATTCATACATTTTGGCTCCTGAATGCCGAAAACCCAGAAGTGTTCCAGTTTTCGAATGTATTTTGGAAGCCGAACATCCAACATTCCAACATTCCACTTGAGTTCAGGAAGCTCCTGCAGCCAAGTGGAAGCCGTGCCTTGGTTTTCAAATGTTTTCGGAAGTCGAACAGACTTCTGGAATGGATTACATTCGAGAACCAAGGTACATCTGTATTTAGGTGTTTTTATCTTCGTTAGCTATCCTTCTATCACCACAGGCTTCTAAGCCATAGAGGAAGGTGTGAACCTATGAAGCCGAGTACAGAGAAGGGGGGAAATGAAAGCCGATGAGCCATTCTCAACCATGGTTTGCCCATTGTACCTTTGGAAACTGAAACTATGGAATGCATTCTCAACTACAGTTTGCACAGATCATGGTTTGGTATGGTCTGGAGCTGGAGCCGGACTAACTAAAAGACCATGGTGTGATCTCTTATATAAGGCAAAATTTACTTCATCAGATGTGTGAGCTACACTTCTATAAGACAGGTAATTCCTGTCTTTAATATATAATAAGAGCTCTCCAGATCAGGCTACAGATTCATCTGGACCAGCAGCAGCAGTCTGCTTCCCACAGAGGCCAAGCACATGCACCCACAAAACAACAAACATCTGTTGTTACAGGAAATATGCATGCTTCTAGGATACACAGAATTCTTCAGTTGGCAGAATTCTGCCCAGTGTAACTCAAATGCTTGTATACTGCTACATCTATAGGATGCTGAATAAATAATCTCACCCAGTTAAATAAATAATCTCACCTCGTGGGAATCCCCTTGGAGTTGCATTGCATTTTGTAGTGGTTAAGGAGAAGTTACTGCTATTCTCTGTTAATGTAAAAGAGGAGATACAGAGAGAGAGGGAGAGTAGGAGAGAGTAAGGGTTTAAGGCTTGCAGGCTTGATGTGTTGCAGCTGTTTATATTTTGAACCATCAAGCACATACTTCCTAGGAATCTTAATTCCACAATGCTTTGAATTTTGGTGTCACGCTTGTCAAAACAAATCATTATGGCCATAGCTATGGTTGACAGACGTCACCATTTTGTCAATAAAATCAAAGCGCATTGTTTCCCAGGATTTTGTATTTTTGGGTTGAGATTCCACTCACATATTTAATTGCAACCTAGGCTGCAAGGCACCAGAGTGCCAGAACGAGGGACACAAAACTATCACTTTTAATCAGGAACAAAAATATTGAGGCACGCACATTGAAATGAGCTGCTCCCGGGAGCCATGAAGAATAGTTCCTGTATAATGGAGGTCAATATCATGTCAATTCAGAAAATCAAATTCTGTTTAGGAGTGCTGCGAAGCAAAAGTTATTTGCTTAACAGTATTTGCTTAATTGTCTACAGGACACTCATAGGGTTTTTGGGGGGTGGGAGGGGGGCTTTGTCAGGTGGTAGGAGACCTTAGGACCACCATACAGGGTCAGCCAGTGGGATGCCCTCCAAATACTTATTGGACTACATTTCCCATCATCCTTGACCACTGGCCATTCTGGCTGGGACTGATGAGAACTGGAGTCCAACAACATCTAGAGAGCAGAAGGTATTGTCTACC